AACTTTCAGAAACAATTTTAGAAACCTGGGAAGGTGAAATGCTACACTGAAGAAAGCACACTTTGGGATAAGCTGCCATACTGTTCTCTGGAATGGATAAACCATACCCATCACTTGAGTATATGTGTAACCGATTTCTCCACATTCACAATTAAACACAAATTGTCATTTGTTTAATCTTTGGTGATCTCAAAGGAATCATGATGCTATTTTAACTGGTAGTTTCTTATTTCTAGCCGATGGCATTATAGTATTTCTCTTCAGTGAGTTATATTTATATGGCCTAAGAAAAGGATCTCTTTCTTTTTCTTTTTAAAGAATTATTTTATTTAACTGTATTTATCCATTTACTTATTTTATTTTGACTAGAGAGGGACAGAGTGAGAGAGCGCAAGAGAGATAAAGTGAGAAAGCAAGCCTCTAGGTCTAGGACTCAAACCGCAGTCAGCCATGTGGGAGTCTAGTGCCCTTAACCTGGTCACTGTTTATGGTTAGGTGGTCAGGTCCTGTCTGCCTAGTGCAGTTTCAGTCTATGCTCAGCGTTCTACAGATCAATAATAGTGACCCTTTCGCTCTTAAAGTGACCCAGGTTGGACAATGAGGTAAATAAACAGTAAATACTCTGAGATGTACTTAGCAGGCCGATATAATTTTTAAATGATAAGATATTAAGTTATAATTTAATAACCTGTTCTCAAGACAAAAGATTTCTAATTTCTCCTTTATATTTTCGATTTTTTTTTTTTAAATGTTTGCTATAGGGTGCATATGGCTTGCTGGAAACAGAGACAGAGAATCAGGGAAAATAAGAACTCATCCCTCAGAGGGGATGGTCATGCTCCCATCCCTTCTCCAGTCTCCTCTTGGGATTTTGGGCAAGCATGCACATGTGCCTCGTATGATTTTCAAGCTGCTGGGTCTGGGACTCGAATTGTGTAGCTGGCCATTTTGGATCCAGTGACTTTAACCTTCATGCCACCTGATGGCCCCTATTTTCAATGTTTTTCTGACATATGAAGCCCTTCTCATCCTCCTCTCAAGATTCTGGGCATGTATGCACACGTGCTTGGTGTGAGTTTTAAGCTGCCAGGTCCAGGACTTGAACTATGGTCAGCCATGTGGGAGTCCAGCACCTTAACCACTATGCAACCTGCTGGCCCCTTATTTATTATTTTTTAAAATATCTGTCAGAGGGTACATGTACTCGCCAGAGAGAGACAGACAGAGGGTGAAGGAGAAAACACCCCTCTTAGTCATGCTGTAATTTCTTCTCTTCCATTTCTCCATCCTGTTGGGGTCTGATACATGCACACACACACATCCAGCATGTTATCCAAGCTGCTGGATCTGAGATTTGAAAAATGCAGTCAGCCATATGGGATCTAGTTCCCTTAATGATCAGAACATGGGGCTGGTGTGTTTTGTGGATTTATTCTATTGTTTTCCCTGTATAGGGCAGTGCTTTTCAAACTGTGGATCATTACTTTCTAGTCCCAACCAACATTTAAAAAATGAAATAAAATAAATTGGAAAGTATCAGTTATAGTTAAGGTGAGTTACAGTTTTATAAAATTTTTACTTTTGTAATTTTCTGTGTATGTGTATACTGAATGTTAAAAAAAAACTTTCAGAAACAATTTTAGAAACCTGGGAAGGTGAAATGCTACACTGAAGAAAGCACACTTTGGGATAAGCTGCCATACTGTTCTCTGGAATGGATAAACCATACCCATCACTTGAGTATATGTGTAACCGATTTCTCCACATTCACAATTAAACACAAATTGTCATTTGTTTAATCTTTGGTGATCTCAAAGGAATCATGATGCTATTTTAACTGGTAGTTTCTTATTTCTAGCCGATGGCATTATAGTATTTCTCTTCAGTGAGTTATATTTATATGGCCTAAGAAAAGGATCTCTTTCTTTTTCTTTTTAAAGAATTATTTTATTTAACTGTATTTATCCATTTACTTATTTTATTTTGACTAGAGAGGGACAGAGTGAGAGAGCGCAAGAGAGATAAAGTGAGAAAGCAAGCCTCTAGGTCTAGGACTCAAACCGCAGTCAGCCATGTGGGAGTCTAGTGCCCTTAACCACCACACCACCTGCTGGTCCTGAAAAGGATTTCTTTCTAATACTTAGAGATACTGAACTCAGTTTTGCTCATCATAATCTTTTCTAATTTTGGAATGCTCAAAATTGATGATATCATTTAAAAATATGCAAATTACTCATTTCACAGAAAGCTGCTAATATAAGTGGTCTCAACTCCTCTGAATATTCACAGTCCACTTAAAATCCCTCGTGACAGAGCAATATGAGGCAGAGTGCATGACATTTAGGTCTCAGGCCTGGTTCTAACAATGCTCAACCGCCCATATGAACACATGATCTTATTTCTAGCCGATGGCATTACAGTATTTCTCTTATTATTTTTTATGCCTACTTTTATGTATGAGGAATATCCTGATTACTTAAAGTTATTAAAAGTTAATATTTACCAAGCACTCTTAGTGCTTTAGATGGTCCATTTCCTTTAACAGTTATAAAAAACTCTAAACATTGGGATCAGCAGTTGGCATAATGGCTGTGTTGCTGGACTCCCATGTAGTTGACTGCGGTTTGAGTCTTGAACCCAGTGGTTTAAACTCATTCCAGGCACGTGTACATGTGTGCCCAAGAGCCTGAGAGGAGAATGGAGAAGAGGTGCGGTATGGCCATCCCCCCTGGGGAGTGATTTCTCGCTTTCTGTTTCTCTGTCTCTCTGTCTTTCTGGTGAGTACACACGCCCTATAAGCAAAAACCTCTCAAAAACAAAAAACAAAAAACTCTAAACATTTTACAGCTCCCAGTTTAGAAGTGAGATAACAAAGGCACAGAGAAATTAAACAAACAAAGTAGCCAAGTAAAATTTCTGAAGTACACATTTAGGTATGCGCAGTTTTTAAATTCTTGAGAGGATTACATATTCACAATTTACCATACATATTTTGCTGAATTATAAGCTACTTTTTATAAAAATCTCTACAATCAATAAACAACGATTTTTAAGACAAGTAACTGTTTAAAACAGAAGACATCTGGGGTAGCTGGTGGTGTGGTGGTTTTCCACATGGCCTACCACAGTTCAAGTCCCAGATCTAGTGGCTTGAAAATCATGCTGGGTGCATGTGCATACACGCCCAAAATCCTGAGAGGAGAATGGAGAAGGGATTGTGACGTGGCCATCTCCCTAGGGGGTGATCTTTAACTTTCCCTCTCTCTCTTTCTAGGGAGTGCACGTGCCCTATGAAATACCTAAAAAACAAAACAAACAAACAAAAAAACCCAACCAACAAAAAAACCCCACTAAATCAGAAAACACCTGTGGGAACTGAATAACATACTTATTTAGCCAAATGGCTCCCCCTGCCAGTTGCCTCATGAAACTACAACCTGAGAAACGGATCCTTTAATGAAAACTGATGCCATATGCTAACAGACAGATTTCCTATTCTTCATAGATTATGTTTTAAAAGAATAATGAAAAAGGGAACTCTCTAGAAATAACTTCTATTTGAAACCCTTTACAGGGACCCCTGGGGTATATTTTGGGAAAAATAAGTCAGGACGTCACTGAAAATAGAAGGGATTTCACACAACTTACAATATACTATATACAAAATTTCTCACATAAATATCAGGCTCGGACCATCATCTTTAACAGGCTGTATCATGAAGATGACAGGAAAGAACAGTAAATTATTCCTTAACAGCTAGACATAACAAAGATCCTGAAAATTAGCTAGCAAATATTTGGAGTCTCACTTCTGAATTTTCTGAATTTCCTGAACTTCCTTTACAGATAGTCCCCACAATGCAGTGTCAAGGATACTCTTAGTCTATTTTTTCCTTCTTTTTTTGTGAATGTTGTTTTTATCGTATATTTCTCCCCACAGATAGTCTTCGTTTTTCCTTTTAGAAAGGCTGAAAATTGGAGCCAGCAGGAGGTGTGGTGGTTAAAGGGGCTGGACTCCCACATGGATGACCGTGGTTCGAGTCCCAGACCTGGCGGCTTGCTTTCTCGCTTTCCCTTTCTCTCTGGTCAAATTTTTAAACATAATAACAAATGGAAATAAATAATTCTTTTTAAAGTTGAAAATAAACTATGTGCACAATTTTTAAATTCTCAAGGAGATTACACATTCACAGGGTTCAAAACTAAAAAGCAACTAGGTAAAATAGATCCCTTCTTGGGACCAGCAGATGGTGTAATAATGGCTATGTCACTGGACTCCCTTGTAGCCGACTATGGTTCGATTTCTGGACGTGGTGGCTTAAACCTCACACTGGGTGTGTGTGTGTGTGTGTGTGTGTGTGTGTGTGCGCGCGCGCGCGTGTGTGTGTGTGTATGCCCAAGATCCTGAGAGGAGAAGGGAGGGGAAGGGATTGTGTGTGGCCATCCCCCCCCGGGCATGATTTCTCACTTTCTGTTTCTGGCAAGTGCACACACCCTATAGCAAAAATCTCTTTCAAAAAGAAAACACACACACACACGCACACACACACACACACACATATCCCTTCTCTCCCTGCCTCCACAGTTAACCACTGTTACTAGTAAAAACAGGAACCATGAGTAAGTAGCAACACCTTAACTGTATATGTGCTACATGTGCTGCAAGAGCCTCTTAAAACTCACACCAGGCACGTATGCATACGTGCCCAAGATCCTGAGAGGAGAAGGGATTGCGGCGTGGCCATCCCCACTGGGGGGTGAGTTCTGGCTTTCTGCCTCTCTGTCTCTCTCTGTATTTTTGGTGAGCGCACGTGCCCTATAGCAAAAACCTCTCCACAAAAAAAAAAAAAAAAAAAAAAAAGCCACCAACAAAAAAATACATGGCACCATTTTCCTACTCTCCACCCCCCAAACTGACAACCTTTGTCAATCTTCTAAATAGATTTACTTTAGCAAAAATTATTAGTGTCATGCTGAAAGCAGTAAAAGAAAGAAATAACCTCGTTCTTCAGGTGAGAGGTCATTATCCTCTTCTCCACTGCTTTCTTGTTCCCGAATGCGATACTTTGGCTCTGAGCCTTCAGCAGCAGCTAACCTATACAACAATATATAAAGTCATATCATTTAAGTGTCTTATTCAACTTTTGAGTCTCATAAAAACATTTAAAGATATGCTAGTTATAATCTGAAGAGGAAAATACTGGATCGTTTGGAAAGTCATGATACATTTTGCATATAGGAAAACATAGGAAAATACGTCTTGACTTTCCCAATAACCTAATTAAAGCAAAAGGCACAATGGATGTAGAAATGAGTAAGCAACAAGAACAGAATGGGTGACAGATATCAATGAACAGCAAAGAGAGCTTTTCTTTTATAAATTTACTTATTTTTGCCTTTCTCAGGTCCATTATAATACAAGTGGCAGGATAAAACAAACAAAAAACCTATAGAAACTGACACACCTCAATATTAGAGTTTCAGGTACCTAATCTTTTTGGCACCTGAATACCTTGATTCTAGTCAAAAAACAGACTATAAAAGTTGGCATGAAAAAATTAGATAAACCTAGCCTTTTATTTATACTTGTACAAGCAAAGCAATGTAAAATGCTTTTAACACTACACAATTAAATGAAAACACTTTAAGAGTCGTGAGTACTTACTTCTTAGCTAAGATATCTGGGGTCATGGCTTCAGTGGATTCTGAATCACTAACTGCATCTTCATCATCACCTACCATACTAGGAGAGAAAGCACATTGCAGTTAATACCTAAAATATAATTTTTCAACCAGAAAAAACAAGGGAAAAAAATAACTCTATTTTAACCTTGTTAAAAAAAAATCAATTTATTTATAGTTTAAATTTAACTAGCTTCAATTCAATGCAAATATTCAAAAGCATAGCACCAGTCAAGAAAGACACTGGGGACCAGCAGGTGGTGTGGTGGTAAAGGCACTGGACACTTCCACATGGCAGACCACAGTTCGAGTCCTGGACCTGGTGGTTTGCGCGCTTGTGTGTGCGCGCGCTCTCTCTCTCTCATCAATTTAAAATAAATGAATAAACTAAATTAAATAAATAATCCTTAAAAAAAGATATTACTAGTCAGTAAAAATAATAATGTAACCATAAAAATAGTGAAAACTCAAGTCATCTAGAAAAGAAAAACAAAAAAACCTGCAAAGTTTCAGCTGTTCTACCCAGTAGGAAGAAAGAAGTAATGCAAAATAAACACTCATTGGTTTTAGAATGTGTATCAATCTTTTTTTTTTTTTTAATTTGATAAGAGTGTGTGTATATTCACCAGAGACAGGGAGAATGGAGAGAAAATGGCACGGTCAAAGTGCAATCCTTTCTCCATTTTTCTACCCTGTCGAGATTTGGGGCACATGCACATACATGCCTGCTATGTTTTTTAAGCTGCCTGGGCTGAGATTTGAGTCCCACAATTAGCTATGTAGTACCTGGCTGCTTTAACCACCAGGCTTCTAAGCACCAGGCTTCTAAGCCCTGTATATCAATCTTAAGATAGAGATAAATGATTTATGCTGATATAAAACTAGGTAACATAATAAAGTTTCATCCCAAAGACTTAATTTAGAAAGTTTACAAGGTAGTTAGCTTTCCCACTCTACTCTCTAATTTGCTCCCTACTTCACTGCAAAAATGGGCATCCTTACTTCTTTTTTTTTTTTTGGAGAGATTTTCACTGTAGGGCGCGTACGCTCGCCAGACAGACAGAGAGAGACATAGAGACAGAAAGCGAGAAATCACCCCCCAGGGGGGATGGTCACGCCGCAATCCCTTCTCCTCCATTCTCCTCTCGGGATCTTGGGCACGCACGCACACGCGCCCGGCGTGAGTTTTAAGCCACCGGGTCCGGGACACGAACCGCAGTCGACTACGTGGGAGTCCAGCGACATAGCCATTACGCTAACTGCTGGTTCCCGGCATCCTTACTTCTCAAGCTACTGAAGGGTATGTAATGCAGAACTTAGTTTAACATTAAAAAAACTGCCAGTTTATATACTTACTGGTTAATTAAGGAAACAAGTTAAATAAGTACTATAATTTAGATGATGCTTTTCCCAAAGGAAGTTGAAATAAGCTCATATATTACTGACTTTAATTAGCAGAGCAGGGTAAAATAAACCTAATTTGCCAATTTATTGAACTGCTCTTTAGGAAACACTAAGTTGCAAAATTTACGGATGAGTCATATGTTTGTGTACATATGTATATAAAAGTAATAACTCTTGGGGGACCAGCAGCCGGCATGGTGGTTAAGATACTGGAGTCTCACCTGACCCACCATGGTCTGAGTCCCAGACTTGGGGGCTTGCTTTCTCACTTTCTCTCTCTTTCTGGTGAATGCAAGTGCCCTATAGCAAATTAAATAATAAACTAAATAATTCTTGAAAAATTTTTAAAAAGAGGGATAAGCAGATGGTGTAATGGTTATGTTGCTGGACTCCCACACAGTCAACCATGGTTCCAGTCCTAGACTCAGTGGCTTAAAACTTACGCCTGGCACGTGTGTATGAGTGTCCAAAATCCTGGGAGGAGAGTGGAGAAAGAATTGTGGTGTGGCCATCTTCCCTGGGGCAAGGGGTGGTGATTTCTCGCTTTCTGTCTCTCTGGTGAGCGCACACACCCTATAGCAAAAATCTCTCTAAAAAATAAAGGAAAGAAATGTAGTAACTTTTTATCTACTAACTGTGAAATTCCTGGGTAGTATGACATGGTAATTCTATAGAGAGCAACGTCTATTAAATAGAACTCTTAAAGTGGTATCAAAAATCTAACATTCAGAGATATATTTCAAATATAAACAGGCAAAAAATTAATGGTTACAACTACTATTTTTAAATCATGTCCACTCTTAATTCTTTTATGACAGTTATCTTAACATAGATCAGTCAGGGATGGCTACCACATTTATTGAAAAAGAAAAAAGCACTGACTTTCTTCTGGTACAATGAAGGTTTTAAGATATGTTTTAAAGTATATACCTACAAGAGAAATATAAGGACATAAAGTTTTTCATAAATGTTTATTTATTCCCTCTAACTTCATTAGTATTGAGTCTTAGTATCTGTACTTCCCATTCAATATTTCTTTATATCTTGTCACTTTTTTCCCTTTTTTTAAGGTTTTTGCCATAGGGCGCAAGTGATCACCAGAGAGACACAGAGGGGAAGTGAGAAATCACCCTTCCGGGGGATGGCCAAACCTCAATCCCTTCTCCTCCATTCTCTCAGGATTTTGGGCATGCATGACACATGCCTGGCATAATTTTCAAACTGCTGGTCTGGGACTCGGACCATAGTTGACCAGGTGAGAGTCTGGTCAAATAAATAAATAAATAAATAAATAAAGTTAAATCTCTCTGAAAAAGAAAGAAAGGGTTAATTCAGAGTCCCCCTAGCACCTTAGGCATTTTCATTGGGAAGAGCACATCTAAACTCCCAGGTGCTTCAGACATTTTTCTTCTCCTCCCCTTTTCTTGAGCTAGCTGGCCTTTTCTTAACCTCACTGCAGATGACTGACTTCTGTTTTTCTAAGTTTCTGCTTTCACACATGGAGACTGAGATCCAACATTTGCTGATGCCAAAAACCACCAGCCAACCAACCAAATATTGGGTTGTCGCAAAAGTAATGATGTATTTTTCTGTTTTTCTATGCAAAAATGTATCATGACTTTTCTGATGATCCAATATATGGCAGATCAAAGTGGTTAAAAAGACATTCAGAGGAAACAACAAAATAACCCAGGTGTGTGGAAAACCAGCAGACATCCTGACCAACCCCTCCTTAAGATCCAATAAATGTTCCTAGCCCCCCTTCCCTTCACTGCCTAGGCAACTATCTGGCCCCTTTCCTCTCTTGCAAAGTGAATAAACCTTTCTATTTTCTCTGAGTATGTAAATTCTTTCACAGTGCACAACAAAGATCACCTTAACAAAATAGGCAGTTAGGTTATGACTAGTACTCCAGTAACAAATATGAAATAAAATACACATTCTAAGAGGCTGATATCTAGGAGCTCATATCAAGTACAAAGAGAAAGCAAGTCACACGCTGTCTGTGTACATTACCTATGGTAAGGAGTGCTTGGTTCATCTATTTTCATTAAACCGTAGTCTTTGTCTGCTGGATGATATGTTGCCAGGATGTTCATTTCATCCCACTTCTGGGATTTTTTGCTAAAATTAAAAGAAAAATATAATTTCTTCAGTGCAGTAAACATATGGAATTCATAAACAGATTCCACATTTCTCTGTTTTTTTTTTTTTTTTTTTTTGAGAGGTTTTTGCTATAGGGCACTTGTGCTCACCAGAAAGACAGAGACAGACAAAGAGACAGAAAGAGACAGCCACACCGCAATCCCTTCTCCTCCATTCTCCTCTCCGGATCTTGAGCACACATGCACATGCGCCCGGCCCGAGTTTAAGCCACCAGGTCTGGGACTCGAACCGTGGTCGACTACGTGGGAGTCCAGCAACACAGCCATTACACCAACTGCTGGTCCCATCCACATTTCTACTTCTACTTGATTGCTAATCTCTACTTTTACATATACTTTCTTGAAACAGAAACTGACTTAGAGTAAAAGCCATAAGTAATTACAATAAAGTGCCCGTAAATATTTTACAGAACATTTAGTACCACATGTTAAATATATGATTTAGAATCTACATCAGCCATTTAAACATTTAAACTATGACATACTTAGTCTTCATCTGGCCTATAAGATTAGTAACAATTAAATCTAAATGCACATATTGCCTGATCTCAGTATATAAGGAGTTTTTACCAACTATAAACCAATGACTGATAATAAAAAAACAAACAAACAAACAAACCCAGAAATACTTCTTTGGCATAATTTCTTCAGGTATATCTGTAAGAATCAGAACATGTGGGCTAGCAGGTGGTGTGGTGGTTAAGGTGCTGGACACTCCCACATGACCAACCAGTTTGAGTCCCAGACCTGGTGGCTTGCTTTCTCACTCCCCTTCCCGCACCCCCGGTCAAATAGAAAATAAATGAATATACAAGTAAAATTAAATAAATAATTCTTTAGAGAAAGCCTCATTAAGTTCAGAAACTACTAAAAGGAATTAGGCTATAAATAAAATTATAGTTTAGTTTATTTTAATCTAGAAAAATAAGATTTGCTAAGAAATGGTACTCTCAGAGAGACAGACAGGCACACTTGACAGCCACTCCATGCCTCAATCCTCTCTCCCAGCCTCTAAGTCAGCCAGGGTCTCAGGCACACACGGTTATGCCTTGCATGTCCAGGTTCACCTGAGATCCGAACCTGTAACTCCAGTATTGTGCAGCAGTGCCCCACTGCCTGAGCCACCATGGCTGGGCCAATTTTTATCTACTGTAGAGATAAGGTTTCCATGTGTTGCCCAGTGCAAGAGAGACAGAGAGATGGAAAGTGAGAAATCACCCCCCCAGGCGGGATGGCCACACCACAATCCCTTCTCCACTCTCCTCGGGATCTTGGGCATGCACACACACGCGCCCAGCGTGAGTTTAAGCCACCTGGTCTCGGACTCAAACGATGGTCGACTACATGGGAGTTCAGTGACATAGCCATTTTGCCAACTGCTGGTCCCAAGATTTTCTTACTAAAAGCAGAAATGAACATATTTGTATATATTCTGTTCAATCATGTTTTTAGGATAATTTGCTTATGACAGGTGTTTCTGGGTTAAAACTTAAGAATTTTATAGTTTACTCCATGCTGCCATACAGCTTTTTAAAAACAGAAGATTCTTTGGGGACAGACAGTGGTGCAAACGTAATGCAACTGAACCTTCATCAGAGGGTCCTGATTCACATCCTGAAGCTTCCTGGTATATGCTACAGGTATATGTACAAGTCCATGATCTGGACTGGCTAAGGCTGGATCACAGCATGGAGACCCTGCTGGGGATGCCTGTCCCTCTCTCTCTCTGAGAAGAAAATGAATGAACTATTTTTTAAAGGATGATTATAATTAATAACCAAAACATTATAGGACTGAGTATTTATTTGTGTGTGTGAAATGTTTCCCATTTCAGCAAGTATAAAATGGCATTTAAAAGCTGGCTTGTTTTTCTTTGCTCATTCTCTAATAAATAATATGAAAAATGCTTATTTCAATTACCTTTGTGAACTGTTTACATCCTTTGCCTATTTATTGGAAACTTCATAAATGTGAATTAGTTCTCTGGATGTATATAAACTACATAATATTAACCCAAAATTTTCCCAGTTTTGTTTGCCATTTAGTTTATTTTCCAATGTTAGTAGAATTCAAAGTTGAACAGGTTCAAAGTCTCACTTAGCTTGTTTCCTCAACACAATACTAAGAACAAAAAAATCCTGGGACCAGCAGTTGGCGTAATGGCTATGTCGCTGGACTTCCATGTAGTCAACCGCAGTTCAAGTCCTGGACCCAGTGGCTTAAACTCACGCTGAATGCGTGTGCATGCGTGCTCAAGATCCCAAGAGGAAAATAGAGAAGAAGGGATTGTGGGGTGGCCATCCCCCTCAGGGGGTGATTTCTCACTTTCTGTCTGTCTCTCTGGCGAGTGCATGTACCCTATAGCAAAACCTCTCAAAAAAAAAAAAAAATCCTTAGAATGATTCAGATCAAATAAATGTAACACTACTTTGCAAAAACAAGCAAAAAACAAGCATTTCAACAAAAGCCTAAAACAGTAGGCCCCCCCAAAATGCTAAGAATTCTTAGGTGGAAAGGTAGAGAAGAAATTGTCAGCAGATGATACTACATATGGAAATCAGCATTTGTCTTTTTTAAGATAATTTTTGCTATAGGGCACGTGTGCTCACCAGAGAGACAGAGATAGACAGACAGCGAGAAATCACTCCCTTGGGGGATGGCCATGCCCCAATCCCCTCTTCCATTCTCCTCTCAGGATCTTGGGCATGCATGCACACATAAGTTTTAAGCCACTGGGTCCAGGACTCAAACTGCATTCAACTACATGGGAGTCCAGCGACGTTTAACTATTACACCATCTGCTGGTCCTGGGAATCAGTATTTCTAAAATTTTGGTAGAAATAATGTGAGTGGTGGAGTAACAAAACGTAAGGAGGGAGTATGAATTTGATCCCAATACCATTATGAATACTCTTATGAACTGTATGACCTTCTTTGGGTCAGTCTCTTCACTGACAAAAATAGGGGCACTGCCACTTTCATGGCAAAGCTACTGTGATGGGGAAAGCACCTGCTGGTTTCAGTCGTCGTGCCCCATCCCCCCACCCCCATAAGGTTTTCCTGCAGTCTCAATCTGGTCCTGAAATAGTCACCACTTATTTCCAATAATTTCAAACATGTATCTTCTACATTTTAATCTCTCTGAAAAAGAATATATCTTAAAATGAATGGCATCTTATAATCATAATCGCCAGTATCTTTTCTTTTTTGGTGGTACATAAAATCAAGGTATGTCCTGGGACCAGCAGTTAGTGTAACGGCTATGTCGCTGGACTCCCACATAGTTGACTGCGGTTCGAGTCCTGGACCCGGTGGCTTAAACTCACACGGGTGCATGTGCGTGCATGCCCAAGATCCTGAAAGGAGAATGGAGGAGAAGGGACTGCGGCATGGCCATCCCCCCTGAGGGGGTGACTTCTCGTTTTCTGTCTCTCTGTTTCTGTCTGTCTGGCGAGCACATGCACCCTATAGCAAAAACCTCTCCAAAAAAAAAGAAAAAAAAAAAATCAAGGTATGTCCTAGGATGATGTCTTGTTTTTAACAAAATACACAAGTGTCAGTACTCACTAGATCTGTTTAATTTGATTGTGAGTTCTGCAATATACTTGAAGTAGCCTGAAAGAAATGGGAATTCCACAACCACAGAAGATGGCAGTGATGTTCAAACTAGTTGGACAGAGTTCTGCAAGATTTATCTATGCCTAATTATGGGGATTTATAGAGTCTATCCAGTTTTGACTCTCAAAAGATGGTATCTAATGAAGCCATCCACTGAAGATAACAGTACTCATATCAAGTATAAAGAGAACAAGAAAATAACAGCACTATGAGAGTCATCTAAAACACAAACACCTCCTTTCCTCCAAGCTAATGATTTAAACAGTTTTGACAAGTGGACACAAAAACAGAGGTACTAAACACTATTTGACATATGGCTTTATATGAATCTCACTTTAAGGGTCCAGCAGTCCCTCTTTATCCCAGGAGGACATGCTCCAAGAACTCCCCCATTCCCGAAATCTCCTAATAGTACTGAACACTACAGGTTTTTTCCTAAACATACATAGTACTTACGATAGTTTAATTTATAAATTAGGCACAGTATAACAACAATAACTGATAAAATAGAATAAAACAATTCACTGTAATAAGAGTTTTATGAATGTGGTCTAACATACTTTATACACATAGTGGAGTAAGTACCTGCCTATTTTTGGATGGTGGTTGGTCAGTAGGTAACTGCAACAGCAGGAGGCAAAACCATGGACAAAGGACAACTACTGTATATTGAGTCTTTAGAATTATCTAATGGTAGTAGTATATGTACGTGAAACACAGACAATATATATCTGAAGTAGGTTTGAAATTTTTCCTTAAAAATAAATTGTTCGATATAATCTTTCTATGTAAAATAATGTTCTATGCACAACAACTGGCGGATGGGAGGTGAAACTACCTCTGCATTTCACATGATAAAGGTACCAATCAAAGGTAAGGTCATTCTCATTATTTGCAGATTTTCTATTTGCAAATTTACCTACCTGTTAAAATTTATGTGTAATCCCCAAATCAATATTCGAGGTACTTTAATGGTTGCTCACAGATATACACAGAGCAGGAAAAAAAAATCTGAGTTGCTCATCAAACATTCCCAGCTGAGGTCAAACAAGATAATAGTGAATGTGGAACAAATACACAATGGAATACTATTCAGCCATTAAAAAAATGATATGCTGTCATTTGAGGCTAAACAGGAGAGCCTACAGGACATTATGTTAGGTGACATAAGCCAGGTACATAAAGAAAATATTGTGAACTCTCTTTTAAGTGGGAACTGAAAAACACCTGATAGAAAGAGACTGAGGAAGAATGACTACTAGAGGCTGTGAAGGTTGGGAGCAGGAATAAAGGGATGATAATTAATGGAAATAAAATTACAGATTTACAGGCCGCCATTGCCCGTCGCTCTGGCTTTCGGCTCAGGGTCGCTGCTGAGCGTTGGGTCCGGCAAGAGAACGGTCGCGCACTCGCAGAGACCCGCCAGACAGCCACGGAGCCCGCTCGAGGCTACCGCACGCGCACGGGGAGATGGCTACCGGCGTCGCTATCACGACACAACGACCACCACGCCACAGACCCGGAGGAGCAACAAATACAGTAGGGTAATATAGATGGTAACAAACTGCTATATCTTTTTGAGACAGTTTTTTTGCTATTGGCTTGTGTACTCACCAGAGACACAGAGACAGAGACAGTGAGGTAGTGAGATATCATCTCCCCTGGGAGGATGGCTGTGCCACAATCCCTTCTCCTCCATTCTCCTCTTGGGATTTTGGGCACACATGCACATATGCCCAGCATGAGTTTCAAGTTTCCAGATCTAGGACTCAAACCAGGACTCCCATGTGGGAGTCCATCGTCACAAACCACCATGCTACCTGCTGGCTCCAAGCTGTGTGTATCTGAAAGTAACTACAAGGGAGATTTCAAGTATTCCTACCACAAGTAATGACAAGTAGTTAAGATGACATATATGTTAATTACCCTAATTTAATCATAATACTTTGTATTAAAATATTATATCTCCACAAATATATACAATTATTATTATATATTAATAAAAACATTTAAAAAACAAGTTAATATCTGCTTGTTTCAACTCACATGGTAAACAAATGTAACTATTTTGTACTATCTTTTTTCAACTTAATTGGTGAATTCACTGTTTAAAATGACTCTCAAGTGCCAAGTGCTGTCGTTTCCCTAAGTGCAAGAAGGCTGTGATATAACAGAGAAAATACATGCTGGACAAGTACGGCACAGGCAGGAGTCACGGTGCTGCTGGCCAAGAGCGCAGCATTAAAGAACCAACAATACATGCTAAATAAGGTACCTGTAAACAGGAACACACGAATAAGGGGCTGATCAGCTGAAGAAAATGCTGTGACCAGAGGCTTGCAGGAACCTAAGCTCTCATTTCCGCTAGACGCAAAGGAACTACGGAATTGAGATTTCATAGATTCCTGATCATTTTTACATTAACATGAGCTTCTTTTGTACTCTGTTCCAAAATTTCTTTTAAAAAATTATTTATTTAAAATAATTCCATTTGTAGGGCGTGGTGGCGCCCGCCCTATGGCAAAATAATTCCATTTGTTGTTGTTAATGGGATTTGACCAGAGAGAGATGAGAAAGGGAAAGCAAGTTGCCAGGTCTGGTACTCAAACTGCGGTTGGCCAAGTGGGAATCCAGGGCCTCAAACCACCTAGCCATCTGCTGGCTCCCAAAATTTCAATTTAGACCATTACAATATCTTTTTTCCTGAGTATTTCCAGTATTGCTTTTTTATATAAAGGGGGAATACTATTTGTAATTACATTAAAAGTAAACATTACAAAAAACTTCTTTCAAGTGTATTCAACTATACTTTTATTGCTTCTGTGCAAATAGGCTCTTGTAAAGTTAGTACTAATGTTTGCATGAACTGCGACACTGATATATAGTATACTATGTAGTCCTATAACAATGATTATGAAAAAGCCCATTCCCTTTTACCACTTGGAACCAAACGCAGCGAACCTCAATCAATTAGGGCTTGGTAGCTTCTTTGGAAGACAGGACTATAACTCTCTCAGTAGACATGTCAACCACCTTGCAAAAGTACCTTGTAAGCGAATCTGCCCTGCCAGCGGCTCCATTAGAAGCAGCCCTCTGTGATTGACTCAGTCTATTATAGTCTAGTGGTTTTTGAGGCAGGAAGGCCTGGATGTAAGCCCCAGCCAATTAGTGAGAGAAAGAGGCCAACTCATAGAGTGGGGCCGTGAGAAATTACAGCAGATCAAAGGTGAGAATCTGTAGACAGTAAGGAAGTGGAGAAAGCAGAGAAAGAAAAAAACTCACTTGGTAGCTGGATAAAAAGCAGCTCACGCTGGGGAACAGTGAGATAACATAAATGGCAGTGAGAACCATACCCCTGCTGCTGAATACCCTGAAGCTGCACCAGAGACTTCTGTAGTTCTTTTACTTGTTTTAATTATCCTGCTCTTCCAGCTATAGTTTTTTGTCTTGATAAGATTTTCAAGTCCCATGACCTACAACCCCTATGCTCCCCCCTCCTCCCATTCAAAGGGACTGAACTGCAAACAGAGGTCAAAGGTTTCTGTGCCAGGTACAATGGAGGTGGTACTAGACAAATCTACAGTCCCTTCCAACCCCTAAAACGTCATGATTTTAAATTGTGATACTCCTTAATATTTTCTGCAAGGTAACACAAGCTCCCATGCTGCTAAGTAGTTGCTCCTTTTATGGATCTAAATTAGATCCTTCACACTTGGAATGCCCTGGTTCCGATATTCTAAGATATCCTGAACATCTTCATTTTAATTTCATGACTACAAATTCTAATAATTTCTCTTAAGCCTTATTTCCAGAATATACATTTTTTTACACTTTCTGTATCTAATTACACCAAGCCCCCACCCAGTGGTATACTTTACAGATACTATACGGCTACGTTTTTCATTAAGCCGTGCACCTCAGATCTCATTCTTTTTAACAGGCTCGTACCTTGTTCCACTATAAAAATGTACCATAAGTAATATTTCACCAGTTCTTACTGATAGACTTTTGGACTATTTCCAGCTCTTTACACACAATGCATCCGGTCAACATCTGTAACTACAGAGTATGCCAGAGCATCTAAAACCACTAGATCATTTCAAGTTGTTCTTGTCTGAATTGTTCTGGGTTCAGACATGCCTTTGAAGAGGAACAAAAACTAGAAAGTAGGCAAAACTCTAGTTGCAGGTGCAAAAATAATTAGCAATAAATATAGATTTCCATTAAAAGAAAATTTCGGTTTCTCTTAGTGCAAAGATAACGACAACCAGGAACTTAGAAAGTGAAGTGGCCCGAAGCTAACAGGGAATGTTGTCTTTTGGGAGAGTGGCCTATTACCAGCTTCAGCCTAGATCTTACAGGGTTCCCAAGCCCCCCAAATACATTTTAATATAGAAAAATTTTAGATACCAAGGAGATGAGTTTAGAAAATAAAAACTTAACGGCTGAAACTCTGAAATTTCAATTTGATTCTTTAACGTTCCCAATCACAGAAAATTTAACGATGCTTAAAAATTACACATGTATATATACCCCCCAAAAAAGGAGTCGCGATAAACGTCATCCGTCCAGCCTTTAACACCACTCCACCCGGCAGCGCCCCGGACGAAGGGGAGACCCGGGCGGCGCGAGAGCCGCGTCCACGCAGCCGGCTCGCGCTCCGGGTCGGGGTCTGTAACGGCGGCGGCGCGCGAGGCCGCCCAGCCAGGAGGAGGGGCTTCCCAGGCCGTCGCTCCCGGCTCTCACCTCAGCTCCTCGTCCACACTCCCGCGGGGCTGCTCGGACGCGGCCACCTCGGACGAAGCCGTAGAGCTCTTGTTCTTCAGGATCCCCTTGATGGGCCGGTGCGAGGCCGTCGA